AATACTTCCTCATCTTAGCCATACCACTGAAAAGCACTCACACCGAGGCACTAAGCATTTTTCCGTGTTATCTGCCGTCGCCAGTAGAGGCTATCAACTGTGACAACACTCATTAAGAAGACCGTCTAACAGCCGGAGCAACATATTGTATACGTAGATAGAAAAAAATGATAGTTCAGCCTACCCGATAGTCAGGAGGAGGGTGTGTGAACACAGAGTTCAGGTAACCAGGTGAACTCTGGTCTCGGTCGGAGTTTAGTCGTTCATTCGACTTTTTTGAACCATAGTGCATCAACCGAAACTCCGGAAAGTACGTGCCAACGACCTGGTCAACACTGGCTGTCAAACATACCTACTGAGACAGTAGGTAGCAGTGGGCACGGCACCGATATCTTGATCACACTAAACACGTTGTGAACGCAAGTCCCAGATGGAAACCGCCTACCGACTTTAGGCCTACGAACCATGGAGGTAACTGTGGAAAACATTCACACATCAGGTAGACTGGACTGACAAAACGGAAATGTCTGACCGAGAAATCACCATTTCAGAACACATGGTTTACGGTCCGTAAAACAATTACTGGGCTGTCTCACTTTTAATCCGAAAGCTTCGTCAGGCTGAATGACTGGGTTACACGACCGTTTGAGCTACAACACAGGAGAACAAATCAGTGAGATCTCTCACCACTAGCTGGTTGGAACACTGCTAGGTGTCGAATACGAGACATTTTTCAGCATTCAAGTTAGTGTGAGTGAATAGGTGTCACACCGATGTTATGGAGTAAGTAGATTTGGGCGGGACTTGAAGGTAGGTCCTCTGGTTCGCTTCATTTGATTTGGAGATTCATCTTGACGGTCAGTATATGCAACCAAGTTAATACCACAATGACTCACTAGAGGGAGATGGTTATGTGATTTTTCTCAGATTGGGCTTTCTACCTTGTATCTAATTCATTTAGTATAGTGACTCCCCTTGGCTTGTAGTTGTGCATGGTCACATGTCAACTCGGCTGATCTAAAATATATTCTGCCTTGTGTATAGCTCTGTGTATGGACCCCTGTCTTTGACCGGTGCATGATGTTCAACTGCACTTCCTAGTGGTTCGTTTACTTGCCGCTTGTGCTCGAACGGCCGGTTGTTATAGTTTGAATACGGCAAATGTCTCTCCGCCCTTCGGGTTCTCATGAGCTTTCTTTTCGGGCAAGAGGAATAGTATTGTTAATGGTGTGACGACGGTTCCTGGTGTACGTCTCCAGACATTTTATTGCCCCTTGGACGGTTGTACGCAGGGCAGCTTTTGTTACCGGGCGCACTGGTCGTCTTGGGTTGTTGATCACATTCTGCGTTGTTCGGGAAAGCAGTGATATTGTTACTTAGGTCCAACGTATTAGTGGGAACCTTTCCATCGAAGAAACGCACACAATTACTTCCTGAAACCATGACTACTTCAACCATTCAAACTTCCTCCTCATTTTTCTTTGCTTTGACTTTTTCAACTAAACTCGCCTAGTACTTGTTTCCCTAATAAAACTGTTTAACAGATGTACCAGCCCGTAAAATGTATTGAATTTCAGGTGTATCAACTCCATCTTATAAATGTTTATTTGAATTTCTCTCCCACCCCGCGAAAAGTATCAGGTTGCCAGGTGTACTAGCGATTTGCTGACTTTTAGGGAAATAAGGTCCCTAAAAATTAACATCCTCATTTTCTTGGTCAACACAAACCCACGAGAGGCTCTTGCGTTGTTGTGTCACATTTACGGTCCTTATTTTTGTGGGTGTTGCAGCTGTTCGGTCTTTTCTGTCTCTTCCGTTTCGTTCATTGTAATAAGTATTTTCAACAACCAAATGCTGTTGTTTTTTTTATGAATTGTCCTCTACACTTTTACATCATGTTTAGAGTGGAGAAGTAGTTCTGTTCGGAGCTGTTTAATCTTATTCGTTCTTACTGGAGTTCTACCCTTTCCAGACATCTTTTTGATCTGCTACATGATACTCATTTTTAGGAGAAATTTCGTATTCAGATGGAGACTGATGACATACGTTTGGGGGTAGTCATTGGACATTCACGTTTTACCCTGGCTGACGCCTTGCTTTTGTTGTCCCGTATTAGCAGATATCTTGGTGTGGAGAGGCGTAGCTTGAAGACGATCAGAGTTTTGCTACTGGATGGAAATTCAAATCACCGTAGTGAAGATTGAATAGGAAAAGAGGGGAATTGAGAGTCTCGCATTTTGCTATTAGTCGGCTAAATTCTGCTTGGCATTCCGGTTTCATTTGATCGACTTGAAAACTTTCACGTCATGCAATTCATTAGTGTCCAGTAAACCTCTGAAACCCGCTAAGTGGCCCTTTGTTATGTCTGCAACTGGACAGCTCCAGGTTGTTCGGTTTTCGGTGACCTTTTACTCCCTTCAAATGGCCCGGCCCATCGGCACAATCGGGTAACATAACGTTAACAGGCTCTGCCATGTGTCTGTCCAAGAGGTCATTTGCGTACAAATGTATCGATAAAGAATTCGGTGCTTTTGAATTCAACCTAGTGTTGTCCCTGCAGCAAGCGTTCACTGGCGGTTGACTGTAGGCTCGGCCGTCAAACTAGTAGGAGTTTTAGAACACAACTAACCTGACAACGAATGCCAAATTATGAAGGAAGGTGTAGTCACATACTTCTTGTTCCACACGATGCTACGGGATATTAATACAAGCAGAACAGACTTCATTCATGAAGCGACGCGGGAATAAGTCACCCGACAGCTACAATGGAGGTGAGGACACAAATTTGAGGTGAACAGGTGATCTCTAAGTAAGACCTGAGCTACAAATCTGGTCTATTTAAAAAGCTGAGTAATTTCGAGAAATTTTCGACCCTCAGCACTATGAATCGATTCGTGGGCAGTTCTGCAAGTTGAAAACCAATCGGTTCACGCACGCCCTGTTCGATGTGACACCACTGTCTTAAAGACTTTAGCCAGGCGCATTGCATATCCCTTAAAAATTCCATCCGTTCTCTGATGCTGTCTTTTATATGTGACTGTCATCAGATGAAATAAACGATGGTCTTGGAGAATGGCGGTGTAACATGGTAGAAAATAGTTGTACTGGGCTGATATGTCTCGCTACATTCGTTTGTGACTGGACTTGTATTAGATTTGCTATCAACAAAAATTTTGATTCCCACATAGTTCGATGCCCGTCTACGGAGATTTCCACTAATTATCTTGTCCACGGCCCAATGAGCATCTGTGTTGTACAGATCGTCTAAGGGCATTATCCAACTTAATCGTGGTATCTTCTGTAGCCTGCCTGTTCGTAAGAATGGCTAACATGAGGTACCGAAGTATGCACATCTATTTCATCCCTTGCTGGATACCGTCGCTAAGCTTTCAATTAAATTTTGCTTAATGTAATCACTCCGACAGCTGCTGGATTATCTCTGTCAACTAAAACCATGGGTCCCAAGTTGATTAGATGAAGCCTTTACAAAGTTAGTAGGGCTGCAAAACCAGTAAGGGAATCACGAGAAAAGAGATTTCAACGGGCGAGGACGAGCGGAAAAATTCCTTTCTCAAAATGATCGTATAGAAATATATTAATTTGAGGAAGTGTTTTTAACACTAGTCAATTTAGGTGCTAGATTTCGAATGTTCTGATGTCAGACGTTCTCAGATTTGGTGGCTACCTCCTGAGTTTTGTTTGCCTACGGCCATCAGGACGATGAAGTAAGATTTATATTTTGCCATTCTGGGTGGCAAACGAGTGAGTCGGTCGTAAATTTATTACATCCTGTCAAAAGACAAACTATCTGGCGCAAAATCAAAGGTTCCACACCAAACGATTTAGCAAAGGTCCAATCATTTCTGAATCCTCCCATGAAGTGATAATTCACATTAAAATTCTGAGGTTTCTGTTTTTAAGTGTCACGTTTTTTTTGGAAATAAAGGCACTGAGTTGTAATACTCAACGTGCTCTTCGAATCCCGTTCATCGCAAAACACAACACATACCGTAATTTTGAACACGACTGTGCCATATTTTTAACTCCCTCGTCTGTCAGCATCATCACCCATCTTTAGCTGTAAAGGCCGCATACTTGTTGTACAGTGGTTATAGCCGCCAAAGTTTCGTTAGGCAATCGTTTGAGGAAATGGAGGCAAATAGTCATGTTTTGAGGCACAAGACCGTTTGGCAGGCTCATAGGTTTTCACCTAATTTGCCAACAAATTCCTTCAAATATGTCCTCCAGGATAATTGCTCCCTCAGCGGAAGCTTTTCAGTTTGAGGAGCCACTGGAGACTATCAGAGTGAGTCTACTTCATGGATGCTGGATGTGCTGGATAACTATCCACATTGTCCTTACTGATGGTGACGGGTTCCGACCACTTATTTTTTTCATGCTGCAGAATGGGGCCTTCGTTTCACCAGTGTAGGAACACCGCAATATACTTTACAGTGAGCAGTCACACTCAGGATGAAAGTGCTACAGCACACACAGTCCTTAATGGGGCAGAAAATCAGTTCACCTGAAAAATTATACGGGGAAAGCAATAACCTATGGGAAAAAGACGGGAATTCGGAAAGTGACCTAAGTGTAGATGATGCAATTGCAATTGCTCAGTCAACTAAACACTTGTTCGGTAAGCGAGAGGTGTCGTTCCTGTCCTTTCCAAGCAAGCAAGCTTCCCGTCAGAACGATCAACAGCAATTGATTATCCAGTATGTCGGATGCCGAAGCACTGCTACAAGCTAGATCCACGAAATGGGTGACTCCTCCGACTGTAGATGGACAAATGGAATCAAGCTAGACAAAGCCCAGACTGTTGACCTAACAACGATTGTAGATGAATTCACCCACAAAAACAATCAAGTAGATCATGACCAATATGACCGATGGAATATGGCAGAGAATACTCCAGAAAGTCTGTCAAAGATAGCATTGACAGCAGCGAATTTCGGCAGTCTGCAGTGGGTATGGTATCCAAAATAGGAAACACTTATATCGTTGTTATCATTTATTTTTTGCAAAAAAGAGCAGGCATATGTGCATAAATTGAAACGAATTTTTCTCCAACCGAGGCGCCTAAACATAGAAACATAGGTGCAGAGCTGTAGTACGAAAAATGTGGAAACAACTATATAAATATCCTGGTAAAACCGGGATGCACGCGTAACGTGTGATCATCTGCTAAAATGGAAAGATGTGAAACTGTTTGCCACCAAGGATTGCTCGCCGATCAGTTTCGAACAACAACCCCTAGGCGTTCAAGTAATAATATAGCAGAATTGATATTGTCCGGTAATGATACGTTTACCGCATACTTGATCTGTAGAGGTCCAGCTTCTGTCAAACCAAAGTACACGGAAAAGAAGACGAAGCCAAATAAGGATATGATGAGAATGGTGAGCAGGCCAACGCGAAGAGCGCACTTCGCCCGGGGGTCTTGAGAAAGCGAGATAATCTTCTGCAGTCGAACCGCGTAACGCTCGGCAAATGTCTTTCCTTCAAGATCCGTGTCTGGTGCGCGGTATTTCTGAAAAATTCCAGCAAGTTTTCCACAGCAAACTGCATTCAGACAACGTTCTTCTTCATCGGCAGAACACGGTCGGTCTTCGCAGCCACAGAACCATTTCGCTAAATGCAGTAGACATCGACCAGAACGAGATTCACATTTACATGCACATGGGCAACTGAGGCTTGGTGAACGAACCTCTGTGTCTGAAACTGCAAGAAAATCCGAAAAATATGACTCTCGAAAAGTTTTCAATTCTCATATGCAACCTAAAAATCACACACTTTTAGTACTTCCAGTGAAATCCCAATCACTAACATCTGCGCTAAAGTCGGAGTAATCAAGATGGGCTAGCATTAGATCTATTCTCTATTCCCTTATGCTTTTTGCCGTTTTATTCAAGAATGTTATCACTGTAAAACAACGAAGTAGCAATAATCAGCAGTGATGTTGCTTATTGTGACGACAACAATGAAGATGATTTAGCCGACTGGCTGAAGGTCTGAGGCACGGTTAACTTCGCGCTAGTCTGTATAGCCTCAGTCTGCCAGACAAGTCTTTATGTTCAATGGATCGAGCATTGGGATAAGGTCTGGACGGATCTTAGCTCATTTGCAACCCACCTCCACATCACCTTGCGGTATTCGAAACCTTTAAGGTCATACAGAAAACAAGGACACAGATTCAAACATCAAGGTCCGATCTATCTTGCTGTATTTTCTTGACAGAATTGTGAACTCTCGTGAAATTTGAACGAAAAAATATAAGAACCCTCAAGAGTAGCATGATGTTTTTGATACGTCAAAATTTGACAAAGGTTAGGGTGTTAGTATTCATCAGTGTTTATATACAGAAAATCACAGTACAAGCGTTCCCCTTAAGAGTCCACTGACAGACCTGTATTTACACATCAATTTATCAGGTCTGTACGACAAGTACGTGGTTCTTAAAGCTGGTAATAATGATGATGTCCAGCAACCTCCGACATAAGTGGTGATGACGTGTCCGGTGGGGTGGAATGATGTAAGTTTTTAGAGGTTCTGTAAGTGTCACTTAGCGTTAAAGCCTTACAGATTTCCTGCCAAATTTATAACAAAGCCCAAATGTATCACAAATAAAAGTCAATTTTAACTTGATCCGAGGATTCTGTTTGAAACAACGAAAACAAGGCTAGACTAAAAGTACTCAGTCACCTGAAGATTTCCATCAAAGCTTTCTGGTAATTTCACCCCGTTATCTTTACAACTTTATCGAGTTCATGATATTATAACATCAAAAATGACGTGTGTTGGTTTCAGTGTTACTTCAAATGAAAACAGACAGCGTCTGTGGGTTCAAGCCCATTGTCAGCACATTACGAAGACACTGACTTGCTTTACTTCAATCACCATTTCTTGATAGGCCGTAAACAAAGTAGTAGTATTGATGGCGGAAGTGACTTATATGGTGTACGTTTTCAAAAAAAGAACTTGCCCATGGTAGTGAAGACCGTGGCAGCGAATGGAAACAGACAAACAGTTCAGAGAAGTTCAGACTTGGGGGTGTTGTTTTCATGAAAACAGAGCTTCGCTGATTTATCCTCCTCTAGGTGTAATCAGTTTCTACGAATCTGCCACTGACTGACATTGTAATTTACCGAAACTCCTGATCACACTTCTAGACTCAAAAAATATCTGGTTCTAGCTTTCTCAAATGATTCGCTCTCTCTCTGCTCAACCAACACACAAGACTGATTTTCCGCTTCCATTCATTGCGCTCTTCGTTGTGGGACTTTATGCAAATTACCATGCTTGCAGGGCAGTTCGGTACCACGGCTACCACACTGATGTTACTCCTAATCATGATTATGCACGTAACACCTTCGGTTAAGAGAATCCGTGTTTTTTGCTCCGGGGACTTCGCCCTGAAATGAACCGGTGGATAAATGGTAGGCTAGGATTTACACAAAAGAAAACAGAAAAATCAATATTCGGACTTGTTTTCATTCGAGGAGGCAATTGATCTCGGAACAGATTTGTCTTTATTCGTAGAAAGCTAGGGACATGGAGTGAGACAAAACAGTGTGGCGGTAGACTAGCACAGCTTTCAGGACTTCTGTTACCCATGTGGGTTAAAATGTTTCACCAAAGTCTGAAATTGTGGAATACTGGTGAACAGCATCATGCGTTTTGGTTGCCGATGTGCTTGGATTATATTTTGCAATGTCACAAACTATTTGTGAATATTCGAGTCTATTTAAAGGAAAGATAACGGTTTCATCTGAAGCAACTAGGTGAACAATCGGGTCATGAGTGTCACGTGCCACGGCCCTAAACTAATTTGCGCTTCACCACGCTATGCACATGTTATGGTTAGAACACAGAGGATGCTACCAACTCTCGGTGTGTTTCATCTATCGTAGGAGATACACCAAAATCTAGCTAAGGTAGCCTACCAACAAGCAGGATGAGAGTTAGCTAGTACAGGCTGTATCATAATAACAGATTTGACGTTGATCAAAGCTATCCCGAGAACCATTTTCGGTTTCGCCATCCCAATTTGCAAACAGCTGTTATTCACATAGTCCGTGGAATACCTTTTGAAGTCAAAGAACTTGGAACACATATGCCATTTGTATAACACTCTATTGGTTTTTAGTCCAAATAATTCCCCTCAGCCATCAACATTTGAAATTTACCAGGTGAAAACTCATTCGGATATATAAGATGATCTCACGAAGCTAGACTGTCTTCAAGAATATAATAATTCTGGTCAATCGAAAGGGTTTTTTAAAGGTTCGCCGCACTGATGACAGACTCTTTCTGTGTGATGGGTGTAGGAGATTATGCTGAAAGTAAATTTCTGATGAATAAACAAACTGTGTTGAGGACAGAGTGTGTTGAACACTGTTCGCTGCTCAGTTTTTAATAACCAATATGCTAGGTGATGAGTGCATTTCGATGCTTCTGACAACTTTAGCTGCTGGTGGGACCGACCATTATTTGTTATCACTCAAACGGACTGCTCCTTGCATTACAGTTGGTTTTTTAGGTTGAAAAAATTCGGCCATACACTTAACTAGCCTTGCGACCTTGAAGTCCCCCAAGCTGCGTTTGGTGCTACGTGAAAAGAGATTCAAATGCCATCAGAGATAACGGTATTAGCTTCGGTAGACAGAACGTGATTTGGAGACAGACACGCCCACCAGATACTTTTCACATAGACATGACTGAGCCAAACATGTAAAAGATAAGGGAGCTCCAACGAAAATAAACGGACTAAGGTTGTCTCAGAGAAAACGCGATTTCATTCGGATTTAAAGGAATTGACGAAGGCTGAATTGAACTGCAGTAAACAACCCAAAGTTTCAGAAGCCCGCAAAGAGAAAACATACCATAATCTTCCGGATACTTCTCAACTTGCAGTCCAGAATTCACTTTGTCCGGAGAAAGGACAGTATCGAAACCTTGATGAAAACTGTGGCCATAAGGTTGATCTCGCACGACTTCACCAGCCGATTTGATGTTTTTTTGATTCTCCATGTTCAGCACATCTACCACCCTGTAGTGTTCTTGAACGTTCCCATCCCCTTCTCCTTCAGTGATCTCACACGCTGGTACCGTTGGATCCCATGCGGTCCAGTAGGTTAGGCGGTGAAGGTTCTCAGGTTTTGGACGTTCAGAGAAGAATGAAATGATTACCAGTATTAATCCAGAACTCAGGAATGAGAACAACGCAAAGTACATGTAGTGAACTTTGCTAACAATTGCAGGACGTAAGTCTGCTTCGCCGCAAACGGGTTCGCTGTATATAATAGTTAGGATCATTCTGACGAGACCAACAATCAGTCCGTACACCAGCGCGCAGAATGCACCCTGAGAATAGTGAATGGAAGTGACCATACGATTAGGAACGAAATGCTACTTTTTTTACACGGACTGAAAATAAAGCACATGTCCCAAATACAGGAAAGATATTTATCAACTGCCGCAAAGATGATCGGGAATCGTGTGCAGTGCACCTTCCGGTTTCGCTTATATGTAAACACTTATGCATAGATAATTTCACAATGAAGCCACAAAGGGGTTCAAAATTCATCAAAAACTGAGTTTTCTGCTATTACTCACGACAACCACTTATTCGATCATTAGTAACTTATGTCTAAGACAACAGCGGAAGGACGAAGATCGAAATTAAATTAATTCGCGATGTTCTGATGTCAAGAGGGTTTTTACCAATTAAGCATTGCCAATGGTTTGGACACGTCGGGAAACGCCACGAAACTGAAATGACCGATCGTCGGCACCTCACCTTAAGTGATGCTGTCACCTGTGTGCATTAAAAGCGAGGGTTTAATGGCTTTTACACTCTGGAAGGCTAAATTTGACCGAATTATTTCATCGTAAAGGTTTGATTTGATTACTAGACGAACGAGTACATCGTGCGTAGTTAGTGTGACTTTGGATGAAACGTCAGCTTCACTAACACGGGTTTTGGCCTTGTAAGTTTTTTTCTCAAACTCCCCACTCATCAGCCACAAAATTTGTAGGTAGGCTTGATATTCTGCGGTACAATTGTTTTACCAAATGTTGACGTTCGGTTAGGCTTCATGTTCCTTTGTCGGATAAAATGGTCTATTTCTTACCGCTTCACCACGGCATCTAGGCCATATTTGGATGCTCAAGTACAGAAGTTGCGAAAAACGACTGTGCCAGTGCAAGACAAAATCATATATCTGAGAGATTATACATGCCGGCGCAATGTCTTCCCCATACATGTGCGCTCAACTGAGAAACCTGATCGTACCGACTCAAACGCTTCAGGATGAGCCATCAGAACTACTTAACAACCCGCTGAGCGCAGTAATTCTTCCGACGTGATAACATAGAGGTTATTAAATTTAGTCTAATTCCAAGTTCATCAAACCCTAGTACCATCTTTAGTAGCGCAAATCACCTTTCACAACAAGATCTGAGCCAGTCGTCTGGAGTTCAAGGCTCTGTACCGCAGATGATATGCACATTTGCTGAACCTTGCTAAAAGCGAAACTCAGTTTCCACCCCTCGCGAGATTGTAACTTTCAGTATCAATTAACCCGGGATTCATTTATTGGAACTCTTGAAACTCCGTGGTCTGCGGAAAGAGTCTGGTGGGCATCAACGCAAATAATGCACTAAAATTAGCTTTCGGGTAGTTTGGAGCAGTACTGCTTTGGTTGGACATGAAATAGATTTGTTGCTATATCACCTATGGAGAACTAGTGGCAATAATGATGTATGTTCATGAGGGTTTATTTGACGAAAGTTGAAAATCGTATGACCAATCGCTACTGTGGCTGGATGCTGTGCTGACTTTCACTTTCTCGATTTTACGGTTGAACTAAGGACTAGAGACTGTCATGCGTTACAGGCACGATACTGACTGCCCGATTAGGCCATATGTTTTCCTCTTTTCCATTCATGTATGACTTCCCAAAGCTCAAACTGATGAAGCAAGGAGCTACAAATCTAACTCCGCCAACTGATCACATCCTTCATGCACCACCAAGTTATGCTTTATTCGATTTAAATCCGGGAAATAAACAATCGTTTGTGGGATGCTCCGACAACAGTTCTCTCGACTTACCTGCTGATATATTTTCTACTCCAACCACTATTGGAAATCCTACAAATCACATCACCTCAAAACGATATTAGCTGGAAACGGTTAACCGTTTGGAGTCTATCATGATACTACAGCATAAAATACAGGTTGTTTCCCTTTGAAATTTTAACGCGTCACTTAGATGAAACCATGTGAGAGAATGGTGGCAGTCTGAAATAGCGCTATTTAGTATTCAACCGAGCTTTATCAGAAGCGTCCCGATCACTGATCATCAGCTTAGCGGTAACTGGAGTACACATAATGAAGGCCAGGTGAGAGTGCCAGGGTTCCACTTGGGAGAAATCAGTTGACTGGAAAGACCACATGAAACTCTAAATGACACTGTTCATGTCCAAGGCCACTGTGAGTGGTTCTTCACTTTCACCAAGTGTGTTGTTGGGCGCTCTTCGTAAATTCTCATTCATTAAACCGAAAACCACCACAGTGGATCAAAGCATCTAAGTGCTGCCTCATATGAAAACATAAAGTTTCCTTTAGAAGGATAAAATGAGCAATAAGCAAGAGGTTAACCCCGACAAAATCTACTGATGCCTCCAAAAACCTATGAGGGCGTGTACTGGAGAAATGAAAGAAAGGCTTCTATTGAGTTAAACCCAAAAAAATTCTTGACGGGTATTTAAAGAAAGAAAACTAACCGATTCCGTAGAGCGTTTCCAGAGGACGGCCAACAAGTAGATGGAAGCTATGGGTGGAGCCAGACAGGCAGAAACAGCCTGTATGTAAATAAACAGCTGGCTGCCTTGCAATTGCTGAATCACGGGTACCCATGCAATGCTCACCATGACCAGGACGACGACAAAAACCCTCGAAAAATGGGAAATCGAGAAACGAGTTTGGCCATGACATCGAGGGACATACAACAATTAATATGCCTCAGCAACCTTAAGGAAGTAAGTTTGCCAACCTAAATTGATAAAGCGCGTCGGAATAGATCCTCTTAACTGACTTATCGGAAGATAAGTAATTCATATTTTTTACTGAGCATCAAACCAGGTTGCCGACAGTTTTGTCAGTCAACAAGAATAAACAAGGAGGAACGACCAAAACAATCAGCTAGCGGCTACATACAATCCAACAGATAAACAAGGGTCGAGGTGTATTAACCTCACACCTTGCCTGCGAAAAATTACCAGAAGACTGAACCCAAAGTGTTGGTAACTGACAGGATCGATACTGTGTGCAAGACACTTCCAGAAAAATCTCTCGATTAGTGCGGTACCCACACCAACTGCATACCGCCAAAAAGTGTTCGGTCCTCGTGTCGCTATCACTATGTCAGTGCACAAAATGTAACGTACCTTACGTATGCCTACTCTGGTTGAAAGGATAATGTGTGTGATAGTTGCATTGCTATTCAGAGAGCCAGTTGGGATCACTCAAGTAAACCATTAGACGTGCTTCTTGCAGCTGGGTGTAATACCCCTCAAATAAAAAGTGTTCAGACCTGGGATTAGTTTGCAAAAAATGGTCATTTGTGTTTTGATATTTTTGAGCAAATAAGGAGCGATCAGTACAGAAGTGTTGCAGTCAAAGTAATATGGCCCCATGAACTTTAGGTCGGCGACACTCACAAATATGACAGGATAGATATCTAAGAAGGAATGGCAAAATGATTGGCAAATCTTGACATATGCGTTGGTACACTACGGTTTTGCAGACCCTATTCAAACCCTGTGGTAAAAACAGGGGTACCATGAATGGAAAACCACATCAATGACGCCTCTTTTTTGTGCAACTGAAACCTAGGGTGGATTGGCGAGCTTACCGACCGACAATCATCAGTTCAGCTTCACGAGCGCTTTTTCTGAACCGTTGATAAATGTCGACTGTGAACAAAGTACTGGCTGAGTTGAAGATAGATGTCAAGTCCGAGATGAGCGCTGCCAACATCACTGAAAGCATCAAGCCGCGTAGACCTGTTTCAAATGGTTACATAAAGAAGCGAGAACTTAATAGAATGGGCGCCATATTCACTAAACAGGGTTTGCAGCACTGTACTGAGCTTCAAATAATCAGAATAAGTCCGCAGATATGAAATGAGTCTGACCATACATAATATGACTGGGTAGACTCCTGTCTCTTGCTTGTCAGGAAGGTGATTTGTCACCTGATCTACAAAGACGTGAGTCCACTTCGAAATTTTATTTACCGGAATTTTACGCGTGGTTCGTCCTATGTCTACTTCAATAGTGAACAGCCGAGGTCCATCTGCGCTTTTAGTAAAGTGAGTAAAGTTCCATAACAGTAAACACAGAGTTCGTCATCCCTCCAGTCACAATTTCATGCCCGTATAAATGATTCACCAGTACCTTGGCTAAAAGCAGATACATTTTATTATTCGGGAGAAATCTGCATGCAACCAAAGACCGTATTGAGCCCCTTGTATCAAACCAAACTTCTGCTGAGAGATCCATTATCTCAGAATCCGGGGACTACATTTACTTGGTATGACCCAAACAGGACAACCGGTAGTGGGCTGTCTGTAGATTTCAAGCAATCGTCCCAAACGTTAGTGAAAACATGTTGAAGAATTAACGGCACAACAACATGGCAACCCCTGAACTGAATCCAGAAGTAGGATATGACTTATCAGGAATCAGGTCACAAGGTTTACCCGTTGGAATCAATTACCCTGCAGATTGCTGTATCACTGTGGCTGAACGCAAAACATGTGTGCACACTTGAAATTCATATAGGCTACCATAATTCTTAACGGTGTGAACGAAGTGTCATGCTTCTGTTTTCCGACTGCAAAAACACCTAAAAACAGACCACCAAATATTGGGAGTTTTTCGCGAACGCCTCGAGTAGAAACCCAACTCGTGATGGAGCGATTAAAATCACACACAAGTTTGCAATTGCGGTAATCTATAGCAGGAATAAGCGAAATACAAACAGAATTGTACATACAGATGATCCAAATGGGACTAAATCACCCGGAAGTCCCCTTCTGTTAGCGCAGCAATACCTTACAACGCAATTGCAGGAGTGCGCACAGCATAAATTTCTGAGCTATCACACTTGAATGTTGTTGATGTGGTGTTTCTTCAATTAGTGACCAGCAGAGTTGCTGCGTAAAGGGTTAGGAAAGACAGAAATGTTTGGATAACCAGTGCTCCCACTTAACAAAACGGCTTTCTTCAAGTTAACTCTAACTTCAGTTCTAACACAGACTACTGTAAGCGACCAGGATACGCCCACGTGAGTACAGAGGAATGGTGTTACCCTGAGTATTACAAGTGTATTCAACGAAATTATTGCTTTATAGCTGTTCATCCGTCCTGAGTGACTTCTAGGATATCCTATACATTTCTGGAAATAGGTATTCATATGTACGGATCAAATCTCTGACAACGGCCCCGGGACCTACAAAGACGACCGAACCGGTCGATACTTCAAGTTTACAAGTGATTACAAACCATGCCTGTGACAAATTCGATGGCGTCCAATAGACGAGCCTACTGTAGCGCATGCTAGAATGCAGGCCCGACGTATTGAACAAAAAGCTCACGAGTCGTCTGCATTACTGTGAGACAATAGGCGGTTTCCCGTTTACGCTTAAGCAGATAAGCTCTCAGCCTCTAATGCCCAAAAGATTGATGGGGTACAGAAGTATTAGGTTTACATATCTTTTGAGCATACAAAACACATGCAGAATTTCTGAAATCGATCGGAACAACAAGTTGAATTCAACGTTAGCATGTAGATGCGCGCCACTTATGATCTTTCAGTCATAGGACGTTTTTGGATACGAAGTTTTGAATTGGAAACTGAAAAGGCAACCCATTGTCTTTCTCCTGCTCCAGCGTTCGTCAGAAAAACGAAATATGCTACGGGGTGTGGGTAGTTCAGTAATACTTGTTGGTTGTACTAAAAATAACACAGACTGATTGAACATGCGATTTATATCCAGGAACGTCTGGCAGAGATATTGGGTACCACGTGACTAATCTTATTCTAGACTCACTAGTTTAGATTCGTGATAACAGTCTTGACCACCAACAATTCAATTTTGACCAGACTGGTATTTGTAAGCCATTTCAACTGGTTTATATTGTTGTTCACTGGCATGGATTCTTTGTTATGTGTGTATGAGCAACCTAGTGTTCGAAAGAATGCATCTTATGGTTAGGTGCTAAAAAATCCAGGGACTTACCTGATGGCATCAAACCGACAACCAGTTTCGGGTAGGCAAGATTAGAACATCCATTGCGTTGTCCACAAACTCGCAAACATTGCTCGCCTGGAATACACGCCACCTCATCTGCGGGGTTCAAAGGCAAATGCGAAAGTGATGAAATATGCTACCATCCGACAGACGAAGATTCACTCAATCTGACATATTATTTCTCACTTTTGAAGAAAAGCTGCCACTTTGACGTAGTGATCATTGAGTACTGCAATGAGCCTGTGGTGCAAAATGGCCGAAAACCTATTACACATGGTATAAATATGCCAGAAAGGTCAGGGCGAGCACCCATACTAGGGTTATCTGTGATTATCGGTTTATCCACAATGTCCGAAAAACAAATATTCATTTCTATGAGTCTGATGCAGTTCCAAAGGCAATTGGTTTGTGCAGAAGCATCAAAAGCCACACATTTATGGGTTACTCTCTCTGGACCATCGGATTAGGCCAGTGCTCTGCAGCCAAGGCGGCCACAATAGTGAGCAATCGGCTCCAAGAGGAGTCCTTCGACAGAGCCTTCTCGGTTGTTGGTCAGGTGGCTGTTGATCTATTCGTCGAGCTTGGCAATCGGCTTGCAAACGTTTCGTCACCATACGAGGAGACATCGTCAGACCCACCAGAAGCATGGTACTCCACCGAAGAGGCGATCAACAAGCATATCGAAATTGATCCTATTTACCTGCCACTAAGATCAAGAGAACTCCAGAACCACCGAGCTTAAAGCTGCAAAATCAACCAGACGAGGAAATCATAAGAGAAGGAGGAAAACATCATTCAAACGGACGCATCAACTGGACTGGAGAAAGCGCCCAATCAAAGCACCAAATCTACGGACGGACGAAGGGACGCTAACCGCTACGGTGGAGGAAATAGGGCGGCACAAGCAACCAATCAAACTCAAGAACGTCAGACCACAACGCAATACAACCCGAGGCCGGAGAGAACGAACTACTAATAATAGAAGGCGTGAGGATAACCAATCGACACAAAAGAACGCAGACCACAATGCAACAAAGATCACAAACGGACCAATAGATTTACCAAATTTGCTACACTTTAAGTAACCAGTCACGTCAAAAAATAACAGATAGCCCTCGAATGCTATATAAGGGCACGCAGGCAAGGAACAAGTACCCACTCAACGGCGCACTGATGATGTCTCCTCGTATGGTGACGAAACGTCTGCAAGCCAATTGCCAAGCTCGGCGAACAGATCGACAACCACCCGAACACAACCTATAAACTCACCCGAGCTAACAATATTTCAACACATTACCGACAAAGCCTTTATCAAAATCCCTAGAACAGTATCAGTGTTCGACACGGATGCACCGCTACTGTACAAGCGTAATTTATTCGAAAGCTCCATTGTGGAGGATGAAATAAACGTGAATGGGGACGAGACCTAGCGCCAGCCTAGTACAATAATTCTGAGTCACCTACATATCCATATTCTCATTCAAACAGTTTGAATAGAAACTGACAACAAGCACACCACTGACAACATCAGCAGCCATATCTCACAGCGTCTACAGCAATGCACACGAAGGGTCACGTGGACCCCATCCTGTAGGGTGGGTGGCACCCACGGTACCCAGACTCTTCATAATCGATCTGGTTTTCCTCTGCCAGACTAAAGGTTGATCACTACACCCGTATCAGCTTGAATTGGGCACGAAGACTACTTATGGACAGACGATGATTTGACATATGATGCCCATGGGCAAACCACCACAGCTTTTGATGCTGTACACACCCCGCAAAATTAAACACTCGCTTTCTAGCTGTCTCACTGTAAATCCCTTGACACCAACTTACACCAACTACGGTTCGCAGAGGTTTCGTCACAACCGTACAACAAAACATCCCTTACTATAGCGTGGTACGCACACCCCTTAAGACTCAGGCATACACGTCCAATCAGAAAACGTGAATCGAGCCTTAGAGATCAGTGCGTTAACCTCATTTGTCATACTACAACTTACAAGTTTTGTGAATCGTACTACAACTCCTCGTGCCTCTCCTTGGATTGTAAGTGACGTTCCCAGTGACCGCATGTCCAGGATCATGAAGCTTACTCATTATGGATTCAAAGCGCATGACAAGAAACCGGCTTATTTAGGTTATTTCATCCAAAAAAAACAACTGTACCTTATTTTCCGCTTCGAGCACGAGAAAAATGTCTGATTATCCAAGATTGATAAGAATTTTGTTGCTTAAACCTAGACAGGGTCCCAATCTAAAGCCATCGGGTCAAAATTTCTGACAGCAATGCGGCGCCGATGGAAGAAAGATGCCAATGTATCATTTATGAAGGACCAGTTGCCTTGTATGCATAAAGCCCCAACCTGGATGACCAGGAGTTTGTACTGGAATCAGAGAATCTGCAAGCGTCTCCAGAAGTATGGTTCAGTGGGACAGGGAGGCTCATAAACCGTTTTACCATATTAACGTTAAGTCCCTTCGTTACGGTCAAGAAAACACCCACCCCAAGGTCTGGGTTTTCTAGTGAGAGAAAGAGAACGGCGTAGATCACATCACTTGGTGAAAAGTTCTGGAACTGCGCCGATGAACAACAGTGGTCGTTATTTTGATCCAAAAGCCCTTCTGATTCAGTTGACTGTCAGAAACGGAATGAAAGGTGCTCCTTTCAACTTCCTGTTACTTTTGAATTTTTTTGTATGCCTCTTTCCATGTGCGCAAACGTGTCATCGGTCAACTGCCTCCTATGTTCACCACATTCAGTAACGTCAGTCAAAGGTGTGCCTTGTTCCTCTTTTTCTTTAATTTCGTAAAGGATTTCTTCTTTACCTATTTATAACACCTGAGGGATCGAAACATTCCAAGTCATTCGGTCGTGCACATTGAGCACATGAATACGATGACGACATCGCTCGTATTGTATGGGGCGCTTTAGAATTGAAAACTGTCTTAAACAAACTGAGTAATTGTGATGTATGGTTCAGCATGAACTCCACAGCTATGAAGAATGCCACTGCAAAGCTTGGTTGGATCAAATATAACACGCTTGCAGATCAGTCCACCGATGTGGTAGATCATTTAGTCAGTTTCGGCAGTTGCTTAAGTCCCGGCTGAACGGCGAGGGGTGAAATCACTCAGAATCGGTAAAGATAGGTTAGAGTTTGCCAAACTTCAGTAGTCGTTGTGCCAAAGTGACATCAGTTTAGCTGTCGGAAATAGAGTACACAATGCTGCGGAACAAACTGCTCCTCCTCGTCACTACAAACAGAAGACTACTGGTGCTTCCAAAGCACTGTGTGGGTCAGATGAGAGCATAAGCTCAGTCATGCTGAGGTAAGCCAGGTGGCCTTCACCCTTGAAAGATCACAGGTTGCGCTAGTTAGGACACCTACTTGATATATCAGAGAATCATTCGTCTCACAGGATCTCTTTCGCCAGCCATGCACCAGATGGAGATGACCCAAAGGCAGTCAATCCGAGACTCGTCAACGAAGCAAGATAGCTCCTACCAGTCACATCAGCCACACCGGCAGCTACTGTCTTCCAGATGGGATCCCCGGGAAGAAACCAATCAACCGTAATGATTCTGGCATTGTCGCGCAGCTTATAGTGACCTTACATCAAAGCTATTGCCTTTATGGCGTAGCTTTCTCCATCTCTGCTACATAAGACAACTAGGCGTCAATGTCTATAGTCCCTAAGGCGTACCTGCCATGCGCTTTTCCTTTTAACCATAATGAGAAGCTGGGATCACTGTGCCTTGTCACATGACTCACAGATCTGATTAGTTTTCACTTAGCGCGTTTCAGATAGACTAAATCAAGGGATAAAATGCAACGCTACTTTATGATCAGGTGAGAGGAATTGTTACGTCGCCCGTAAAAATCCAACAATTAGTGGGGTTTGTAACAGAGTTATCCATAAATCAGAAAGAAATTCGAATATGTCAAATTAATTATCTTTCTAAATGTGTCCATACGCAAAGCCTCTCGAAGATACAGCTTGGCCATTAAGCAAGAAATTGTATGCAGGGTATGGTGAAACAGGGCAAAAGACCGGAGTAAGGTATGAATGCTGTGAATCATCATTGTTAAATTCTTGAACGTACGTCACGAGTTGAGCTGGCCTGATAAAATACCAACAACCAAGGGTGTGGACTTTTCTAATTCCTTGAATACAGGCATGGTCCAACTAAAAAATCTCACTATTTGAGTGCATGCCCAGGCGGTGTCATGTGTCTCTATTCTGCTTCCATGCAGCTACTCCGATACGAGTTGAATGAGGCACTGCATGGCTTGTGGATCAAAAATGTGGATCGACCAATGTGGGGTTCTATGGAGAATTGGGATGTGAAAGTATGGTCTAAAAAAATTCACATTCTTTTTGACTACAGATTGAAAAGCATGCAGCTTTAATCCATAAAATACACTCTCTTCTGTTGATGTGATTATTCAGGTTGCTTACATCATTACATGAATTTTCATCAAAAAACCAATCCTGTGGATTTTATTTGTTTACTTTCGGATTATCAGCACCAAAACAATTATCCACCTTGTCATCATGGCCTAGCTGTTATTACTTTGTTACGTATAAGAGCCGGTGGTAGTCTATGATCATTGGTTTGACCAGCATAAAACTTCGGAAACGAGTTTTGGAATCTTGCTTAGAAAACGATACAGCTCAGGTGATTGCCAGTCGTTTCAAACCACACCTTGCAGTGAGTCTAAAAAGACACTGAGAATGGTTCAAACACTAAGCTATCAACAAATCCAAGCCACAGCGTTCTGATTGTCTAATCTTACCTCCTGACTAACCGCGACCTGCTCATCAGTGAGCCGTCTACCTTTTGTCTTTATTTTTATTTAGTTAACTCTAAACATGATGGGAAAATTTTTACTGTACTGGTTAGGCGGTGAATCGGACTTCAACATTTTCTTATGTAGTATATGTCCCACAAGTGAAATCCTGAATGCGTCAATAAACTGACGAATCAGTCCAAACGTAACATTTACTACCAATGGTTTTAGGGTGGTAGTGGTTTGCTAGCAATGGAAATCAAGGGCAACACACGATCAACGCGCTAGTGTGATGTT